ACTTGTGCTGCTGCACATCAGTGCAAATTTTTATGTTTAAACCAGTCAGTCAGTCATATATTGATAAGTATCTTTTTTTGGGTGATTTCTCCTACTCACTCTCCCCTCTCCTTCTTTTTGGTCACGAGACCAAACTCGTTGACTACCACTCAGCCAATTCGGGGCTGGAATTCAATAACTCTCTGAATTCTAACTTTTTCAATTCATGCGTGATATATAAATATAGCGCTGTCCTCACCAATACCTTCGATGAATACACACTTCACCTGGGTGACAGCATGGAGCTCACTGGTGTCATGACTTCTCAGTACACAGCTTCAGCACATGCATCGAGTAGCCATCAATGAGCAGTTGGCGATTGATATTCACGAACTAACGTCAGTTAAATAGAGATCATTTAAAAACCAACAGTGAGCTAGCTAGCTAGCTATTTTCAACATAGAACTTGGCACCGAAGTGCAGCAGTTCGAGTTGCCACGTTCCAAATAGCACACAAAGGTAGACAAGAAAATGAGTGAAGGGAATCAGTAGAGTTTTGACAAGTATAAGAGTGAAACACAATGAGTAATAGTAGAAAGGAATATGAAAGATTACAGAGACTGAATACATCTGCGTAAGCCATTGACAACGATTTTGAGCCATGTCACCTATTGTCTCCAGCCACCATTCTCAGAGTCCCGAGGGTGGGCCCAGACCCGGAAGTCTGCATCTCCCTCCCTACCTGACTCAGTTTAACTGTCAAGGATTTCATGGCTTGATTAGGCCATGTTTTTGTTTGGCCACCACTCACTCTTTTCCAACCTGTACCTATATCGGCTAGTAATGCCCGTCCGTCGGGGGAGGCGATGGTTAGGCATGCGCACCACGTCACCTAGCCATCTCAATCTATGTAACTTTATAGCCTCGTCGATTGATTTTCCCTCTTTGCCCAACACTACGCCTAACGTCAACATTACTTACTTTATTATGCCACCTAACGTGAGAAAGAGATCGTAGACATCTATGACCAAAAACAGTCAACCTTTTCAACTCGTATTGGCCATGTTTCAGAACCATAGAGAAGGACGGAGCGAACTGCTGAGCAGTACACACGTCCCTTGGTTGATAGCCGGATGTCACGCCTACGCCAGAGATGGTGTAAGTTAGCGAAAGCAGCTCGAGCTTTTTGGATCCGTGCACTTATTGGACAGTCAACTGTTTCGTCCCACTAGCTTGGGACTCTTCAGCAATGGGCATCCAAGACACATTCCTGTCAGGAATCGAACCCAGGACCGATTCAATCATCACAATAAAATATTACAGTATGACATTTTCAAGGTTTCTGAGGCAATACATACCTAGATATGCATGAATTCATAAAGGGCTTAATACTGTACGTAGACACAAACAAAGGTAAATGTATAATCAATAGGTGTTCATATTTTTCACCATATGTGAAATATATGTATATAAATCATTCGCGTATCAACTGCCTGTCATAATAATAATAATAATAATAATGGTCATTATTACTATTATTACCATTATTCGTTTGAATAGTTTACAAGATTATTCCACTCTATCTATATATTCTCGATAACTTTCTTTTGGATGGATGGAATATAAAGAAAGTACATTTTCTCTACTTCAAAACAAACTTTCCCTATTCCTTATTACGTAACAATGATGATAATTTATGTGTTTATTCCCAACTCTCTCCTTGTATCTCATCAAGTAAAACCAGAAATCAGTATAAAATAATCTATGCTCGTACAACCAAGTACGGAAACTCAACGATACCATACTTGGCCCGTGTTCTAAGCGACAGAGACAATGTTAAGCGTGAAACCTATGACTTCCTTTGTTGTTAATAACATAATTTTAGGCTCTTTTATTTCTCTCTTATTTTGTATTCTTTAGTGAACTCCTTCTTCAAACATACTTAGCTACCTAAAATATTAACATTGGCTTCCTTTTTTGTACTTTACTGTATTCCTTCTATTGTGTATCTACTGGTTCCTACTCTATCTGCACTATGAGTTTTACAAAATTGTCCTGTCATTAACCATCACGTAATTATTAGTTTTGTGGTTGTTTTTTCTTATTTTCTATAGTTTTCGGTAATATTAACTGACAATCATTGGTTGTGAACGCCATTATCACCACCTTAAAACATTTTGTATTATTCAGGATTACTCACACTACCACCACAAACACTGCATTATACTTTGGTAGACTTTGGTACTTTTTCGCATTTATAATTATTTTGTGTTTATCCTGCTTTTTTGCTGTTGGTGTCTTCAGATTTTTTTTTTTTGTTTGTTTAGTACTTATTTTAAATGTCGGTAAAATTAGATGCAAATATTGTAGATATGTGCTGAAAATTTCACACTGTACCACTAGTACTGTTTCTGGAATAAAGCAAATTATTATTATTATTACCTCTACTTTAACTTCATCAACTTCGAGAAGGCTTTCAAAAGAGTTGACCGTGAAGTAATTTGGAAACTACTTCAACTCTATGGAGAGTAGTAATCCCCCCTTAATCTTTATCAGCCTCACTGAACACTTACATGACTATCCCATATGTCAGGTGATCCACAGAAGAAAACTCAGAGAGGTGTTTGAAGTGAATTCAGGGGTAAGACAAAGTTTCTGTCTGTCGACTATCATCGACGATGAATTGACGACAATTATGCAGTACATGGTGTGTGAGAGCAGGAGGCGACAGGAATACGTTATACCGATAAGAAGATTCTAAAAGATTTGGGACTTCACGAATGATTTATGTGTAATGTCATATAAGTTCGAAAATTTACAGACAAAAATTGTATATACAAATTTACATGTATCTGCGGGGGCAGTTCCACTGGAAGAAAAGAAAGAAGGACAAAATCTAAGATTTTCTGAACATGTACCAAAAAGCTTATGTCTAAAGGGAAAAAATGCTTTAAACAGTGCCATCGCCAGGCATCTCTTTGACACGAGTGGTCATGAGGTGGACGTCGAAAAGTCGTTCAAAATTATCAATAAGCAAAAGAGTTCGATTCTCCCTAAGTTTGGGAAAAGTTATAATGATTGAAGATAAGTAATTTAGAAAGGAGCTCAGCGCTACATTGCAATGCAGGCATTAACACAGCCACACAATAGGGTGGGAGAGGGTTAAAATTCTGAAAAGTACTATAGCTAGGTGGAGAGCAAGAGAGATTGATTACTAAATCCTGCTCAAAAGTGGAAATGCCAGATAATACCTAATTGACGACACGGGACATACAATGGAAATTTGTAAGACTTTTAAAATAACCAATGCACAAAGAAAACACCTAACACATGAGGTTAAGAAATCCACAGCAGAGCTTTATACGCCGAATGAAGCCGTTTCTAGGTGATTGGTCTAAGTGGTTTAATTTAATGCCGGAAACTAATAACCCCAGTAGGATGTATGGTGTTGTTAAAGTTGAGAATAAATCAGGATACCCTATTAGACCTATAGTTGATTTTAGAAGTTCACCTAATTATGAATTATCTAAATATTTAGCTATGACATCAAATCCCCTTAAAAGCCACTCAAAATCATCAAGAATAACAAATTCTTATGAACTGAAACATAGATGGATTAGATAATTTAAAATTAGATAATGAAGAAAAAACGGTTAGTTTTGACACTGTCAGTTTATATACACGTATACCGATAATAAATATGGCTATAGAGGCAGTCGGAAACGAACTCATTTCTGACCAAGACCTCGAACTTAGGACAAAAGTGCCACTTGAGGATATTAGTCTGGAAGTCCAACTATGCCTGACTTCCACAGTATTTAAATTCCAGGGGAGAATATACAAACAAACTGAGGGAGTTGCCCTGGGATCACCAATATCCCCGGTTGTGGCAGATATATATTCATGGATAGGTGGGAAAAGCTTAGCGAATGAAACGTTCGTCCCTACCTCAAAAGTATTGTGGATGTACGTAGATGACACATTCACTGTACTTAGAACACAGGATATAGATAGATTTTTCGAACACATTAACTCAAAGTTGGAGGCAATTTAATTCACTTATGAATTGGAAGGTCAGAAAGGGGAGCGTGAAAAGGAAAGAAGATGGGAAGTTAAACATTCGTGTTTACCGGAAACCCACACATTCAAACTGATGTTTGGATTTCCGATCATCCCATTCTATGTCAGTAAAAATAGGATTGGTGAAATGTTTAAGTGACAATAGGGCATAAAAACTAAGTTGTAGTACCAAGGAAAAACTAAGACAGGAAGTGAGACATATAAGAGAAGCTTTGAAACTTAATAATTACCCTGATAAATTAGTCAGAAAGTATGTAGGGAAATGAAAAAATAAAATAAATAATGATAGTAGCGATAGTGATAATAACAATAATAATGCATGCAAAACATGCTCAGGATCATAACAAAATCAACAATAGTGAATTTAAAACATCAGTAATACTTCCATACAACGAAGGAACCTTGGAAACTTTACGGAGAATTCTTAACAATGCAGGCAGGAATAAATGTGGCTGGCATTCAAACTACCCACAAACTCATTTAGAAATAAGCTTTGGCGGTTAAAGGATCAATCCTGTGGAGCCAATAAAACAATGTTGTTTATCCCATACCCTACTGGAATGACTGTCACACTAGCGGAGCACAAAATCTAGATTAATTGACCGGAAAAAGATAAGGAATCTAGAAAACAGGTCAGCTATAGCACTCACTACATGCAATTACACACACAACCACACAATAAAATGGTATAAGATGATGGTCTCAACATCCAATGTAACGCGGGTGTAGGAAGACAGATCTATCCACTCAGACATCTAGAAAATTCTACTACCACCACCTTTATAACGAATACGAATGGGAATAAAGAAAACTATCGATTGAAATCGATCAGTATCTCTTTTTATTTATTCCTGAGCAGTGCTCAGTTCACTCATATACAACATAGTAATAATAATAACAATAATAATAATAATATGAAAATATACAAACAAGTAACTTACTGTTGTTGTTTTTCTTTGTTGCAAAATTTTAGAAAATTCAAATTAACTTCAGTGAGTAGTGTGTATACAAGAAATTAATCCAGTAAAACAAACAGCAGCGTGTTCACAATTGATCATTGAACGTCGTTAGACGGATAATTTTATGTTTCTCTGGTTTATTTGGTGCAAATTCTGTAGAGAGAGACCAATAAATCGGGGTGTAAAGATGACACAACGAAGTTGATGTTTTTTTATTCCAGGATGCTGTGAAGGAGAGAGAGAGAGAGATAGCGGCACAATCAGTCAGTCGGTTAGTCAGTTAGTTAGTCAAATATTCAGCGGGATTTTTATTTTCACCTTTATTGTTCTATTCAAACGATTTCAAACACCATGATGAATATTAAACAACTTTAGAATCATGTGTTTATGAATAGAAATTCAGATTTGTTATCATATGTATATATATTTATATATTTCCCAAATGTGCACAATGAGAGGAGTGTTAGCGAGCGAGCGAGCGAGCGAGTGAGAGAGAGAGAGAGAGAAAGGGACACTGACTGATATCTTCGCCTTATTCATTCAACCACCCACGCACATGCACACACACATACACAGAAGCGCACAAACTTACTTATTACACATCACTACTACTACTTCTATTTTGTACACCACAAGGTCATGTGTGCATATTAAAAAAATAATAATAATAATAATAAATGTAAACTTTGATACTACTTTAGGCAAGTGTGTGAACACCATTCTCCTTACTAAAAAACCACAAACTGAGTGGTGCGTGCGTGTGTGTGTGTGTAATCACTCCCATTATCCTTTCTTTACATTGCACCAATAAACAGGCTGCTAGATTCATTTTGGTAGAACAGAACAGAACACCCAACCTACCTACTCCTTTTGTATTTATATTTAAGGTAACAAAGAGGATGTGTACGCGTGCGTGCACGTGTGCGTATGTGTTATCGCGCACACCACCTGTGTGTATGTGTATATACACATATAAACATAAATATTTAACAAAGACTTGAGGTAAATATTTTATTATGAAGGATTTTGTGTTAAGCAATCACACAAACTGATACATATATGCGATATATTATTATTATTATTATTATTATGGTTATTATTATTAAGGTGAAAAGTAACCTTGCGATAAAAACTTCCAACACTCTAATCTGTTCGTGTCGGTAGATGTGATGAGTGTGCTGCCAGTTAGTGGTGGTGGTGGTGGTGCGGGGGGTGGTGCTAGTGGCAGAGGTGTTAAGCCTGATGATGTCATGCCCCTCTCTGTCTGCTCCCTCACCATCCTTTGTTCACCTTTATCTACCCATCTATCTATCTATCTATCTAGCTAGCTAGCTATCTATTATTAGGAATGATTACAATAGACTTTTGTTCTGATTAATAGACATAATACTGACACGTGACCCTAAATAACACCTGTTTTTTCCTCTCTCTCTCTCTCTCTCAATACAGAACTGTACTTTCTTTCTTTCTTTCTTTCATTACCTCACCTCCTTCTCGCCCGCTCTAATGTATTCTGATTTTCAAAATTCAAAGCTTTCGTTAGGAAATGGATGAATAATAATAATAACAAAAGTAATAATAGCAATAATAATAATAATAATAATGATTATAATCTCAATCAACTAACTTTATATCAATTTGATTACAGAGCTATTCACGTCTACATGTGCACACGTACACGTCTACAAGCGTACATACAATGGACACATAGACATACATGCACAGACACATACAAGCATACAATATACAACAAATCAGATAAAGCATATATATATACATATATATAACAGTTTAAAGAACAATAGATTGATATACACATAAATATACATACATAAATTACTGGAATAGATTGATTGCAGATAGATAATATAAAATGTATAATAGAAACAAAGCATACATACGTACAAAATGTTTGTCTAATTATGCATATACATGCCCATATATATATATATATATATATATATTCAAATTAATATCAATAATAATAATAATAACAATAATAGTAATTGTCTATGTCCACAATCGAACAAAAAAATCAATAAACAAAGTTTAAATTTCCCTCTTTGGTAATAATAATAACAATAGGAATAATGCAATTCAGAGTCGTATGCATCTGGTTGTTATTCTTCTTTCCTACGTTTATTATTTATTGATTAATATTTTGCATATGGAAGTAAGCAATGGTAATAATCATAATAATAAGTGTGTTGCGACGAGACAGAGATAGAGATAGAGAGAGGGAGAGTTTATAATAATAATAATGGCAAAGTTATTTTTCACTTCCGGTATATTTAAACAATAAATAAGTTGGGATGTTTCTTTTTCTTCACAAGTCGAAAAAGGAGAATATGAAATATGTTCAAAATAATCAATAATGATGATAATAATAATATTCGGATGGATTATTCTATTCAACTGAATACTCTACATACATGCTAGACGGAGTTCGCCACCGCAGTGTACTCTAAGCACTGGGTGACTAGATGGTTTCAATTTCTCAAAAGGTAGATGAGTTCCAATTAAGGGAGTTAGTTACAGCCACACCATTGCTGACAGACACGAAATCTGCTTAAAACTTGGGCTACTAAAACAAAAAACACCATCATTGTGTATTGGATACAAATTTCTCTTATTCGGTTTGTTTAGTAAAATATGACCTCTAATAGTATTATTTACTCTGGCGGATATTTAAATTGCTTAAATCGACATAGAACTTTGCAAATATGTGCGGCAGCTCAAGTCGCCACACTCCATGCAGCACACAAAGCCAGAGAAGAAAGTAGAAGAAATGCATATTAGAGACAGTAAACAGAGGTGTCAGACAAAGGAATAGAAATAACGACGAACAATATAGTTTCATTGGGTATTATAAGTCACAATTAGTGGATGCATCTGCGCTAGCCATCATTAAGAACGATTTTGAGCCATATCACCAATTGCGTCCAATCATTGGTTTTTACCATCCCGGCGACCCCAACCAAGAAGTCTACAACTTCCTACGTGGCTTAGACTAACTGTTGTAGATTTCATTGACTGGTGCCATGTTTTGGTTTGACCACCGCTAGCTCTTTTCTAGCCTGACCCTAGGCATACGTAACACATGTATTAACCATCTCTGTCGATATAGCTCCAGAGCCTCATCGATTGATTTCCCCTCCCTCCTTATCTAACACTCGACCGTTGCCTAACCTCAATATTGCTCACCCCATTATACCACTTCACACGGGAGATAGATCGCAGGCACCTATGATCAAAGACAGCTAATCTTTTCATGTCTTCCACTCTCAATGGCCATGTCTCGCTCACAGCCATAAAGGATGACGGTGCGGACTGATGAGCAGTACACACACCCTTTGATCAATAGTCGGATATCACGTCTACGCCAGAGATGGCGTAAACTGGTACATGCGAGACTAGCCCTCTGTATCCGTGCTGAGATTTCGTCAGAGATCAACCCGTTTGTGTTGGCTGATGGTACTTCCCAAGTAAGTGAAGCGGTCAAAGTGCTCTACCACTTCACTTCCTATTTCTAATCTAGAAGTCAGTGTAGTCCAGTCCTGTAATATAACCTTACATTTGGCATAAGCGAATCGCGTGCCAAACATTTGTAGATTGTAGCTCAAAGTGTTCAGTAGACTCTGCATTTTGTCAGCGTCCTCGCTCAGAAGGACTATATCGTCTGCATATTCTAAGTCAACGAGATTATTCCTTGGTAACAAGTCAATCCCTGAGTCGCTGAAGTGAGTTAGGGTTAAGTCCATAAGTACATCTATGACGGACGCCACTAGTCGTCACCATTTCAGATGACAACTTGCCGTAAGCCCTCACCTAGCTGCATGAGTTTGAGTAGAGTGCCTTGATCAGTGCAATGTATTTTCTCGGCATTCCCTTTACAGTCAAGCATCGCCAGAGTACCTCTCGATCGACAGAATCGAATGCCGCCTTTAGGTCAAGAACTATAATGATTGTTGGACGCCCCCTATACATGAGGTCATCGTTCATCACTGGTGTCCTTGGTTCACAAAATGTATTCCTGAACTTTTTATATGACTGGTATTCAACAAAATGTCATCGGGTATTTCTAAAAGGAGGCAAACAAAAGATAGTATAATGGTGAAGTGGGCAAAGTTAAACTGTCATAGCCAAAACCACTGTGACTTTGAACAAGCTATCAGAATTGGAGTGCAAAAAAAGTCGTATAATCCTTCAAAAATGCACTGAAACACATTGCAAATATGATTTTACACTGTTGTAAGAATATCCTCCTGTCATTTGGTTGGAGGACTTCATCATGAGCTGACATCAGTTAGACAGAACCATTGGAAAACAAGCTGGGAGTATTGGGCAGCTAGCTGTTTCGTGCAACTAGTTTGGGACTCTTCGTCAGTGCGCACCAACCGATAGGGTTCGAACCAATGACCTTCTGGTTACAAGGCTGGTGAGCTCGTAGACCATTTATTCAACCACTGAGACCCGATCCAATGGCCAGTCAGTCCATGAATTCTAACTCCTGCCAATTCTCGACATAGTATGACCACTTCGCAATGTCTTCGGCGAGTATTTGTCCTTATATCCGACCTGCTGAACGCTGCAGCTCATGATGAAATCCTGTAACCATTCAGTCAAATCCCTACCAATCAATACTTGGAAGACAAGACTGGAATCTGCAGCGTTTCTCCCTGTTTCCCTGTGACCAGTGCAGCCGGTCCACCTAGTCGGGAGTGAGGGCTAATTCTCACCACCAATGACACTGGCTAGTAGTGCCGCTAAAATCACGAACTCGTAGAAGTTAGAACTAATGGGCTGGCCAATAAGTCGAGTCTGAGTGACTGAATGGTCTTTGAGCTTTCCTTGTGATCGGAAGGTCCTGGGTTCAATCCTCAAGGAGTGCACTCAGCTTTGAAGAGTCTCAAACTGGGACGAAACAGCTGTCCAGTAATCTTCTGTCGTTTTCATTGGTTCACTAACTCATGTCAATCAGTGGTCAATTCGTAGAATGCTGAAGACTGTCAGTAGGGTGAGTGATGTCCCAGTGGACTACATAGTTAACGTCGTTGTCGATAGGCACTTGACCTCGTGCAATAAATTTGCTAAAGGGATTTTGTGCGACTTGGAGCATCCACTTTACCCTCAGCTTCCACCTTGCATCTCCTCAGGTAGAACAATAAGTAACTTCAGAAAACTGTATGCTCGCACGTCTAAGTATAAAAATTCTAT